GTCTAAATAAGAACAGAGATGATGTGAACTGTATATTCAAATCCAAACTTTTCCACAAAAAGTGCGTTGCCTCACATCTTTTCTGAAGTCAGTACTGTTGAGACTCACCATTCACATCCATCGAGTTGACTGACTCATTGATTGACCCTATAGGGCAGGGTAGAACTACCCCTGTGGGTTTCCCCCTCTTATTTGGAGTGGAGTAAAAGGCCCCATCTTTCTCTGGCAGAGCAGCTAGTGAGCAGCCCAGCAGGTAAATATAATGGCAGCAGAGGTTCTTCTCCAAAATACTTCAACCTTAACACCGACATGAAGCTTGTTGCTTTTGAATCCGTTTCAACATATAGGAAGAGCCGTGGTAGTGTACTTGGCTGCTCACCAGAAAGTCGATGGTCAGAGCGCTCCACCCACTCTTCAGGAGAGGGAAGTGGCTGTCGGTTTCTATAAAGATTCACAGCCCTGGAAACACTACAGGATATTCTCTCATCCTATAGGGTTGCTATGATTCAAATTTAAAATAAAAATCTAAAGTACGGACTAAGCAACAGTACACTGTTCATTTCTGCAGCCACACACACGCAGAGCAGGAATATGTGCCAAACACTGCTCAGCACTAGAATAAAAAGCGATCCAGATAGAAAACTAAGAGAATAAGTCATTCTTTTCTTCCAAAACTATAGCTATCTAATTTTAAATACCCACAATAAAGAATTTGGAAAGTGGAAGCATCTAAGTAAAACTTCACAGATTGAGGGGGTTTTGTTTGTTTGTAATATAGAACCAGCAAATAACAATGAAAACAAGGGGGGAAAAAGATGACATATTCAGGAAACCAAAATGTTGGCTTATGTGGTAAATGTTTGATTTCCAGTAAGTAAGTAAGTTTATAAGAACTCAGTCTTTATACCTGTGTGTTCAGCGCATTGTTGAGAAATAATAAATAGCAACCTAAGTGTGTTTTCAAGTCTGTTCTGAGTTGTTCAATGAAGGGAGCCCAAATAAAACCAGCAGACAGCTTTGAACAATTTTTTTAATAGAAATATATTTTTTAAGGGGAGGGGTGAGAGCATGAGAGCAGTAAGCAGACGTAATGAAGCAAAGGTAAAGCAGAGACTGAGTGACACGGAGAGGCAGGCCAACAGGGGAAGACCAAGGAACACGTCATGCCTGCAGATCAGAGCTCCAGGTCTGGTGGCAACAGGACACACAGTGAGAGGAGCCACAGAGATCTGAGAGAACAAGGGGAGCTGAGTTGGAGGGAGGGGCGCTCCCTCTGAACACATGAGCAGGTTGGTACCAAAATGCAAGGAATGTGAACTTTAAAATTCTTTAGGCACAAATGTCCAAGTGACACAAGATTTAAAACCCGGCTATTCTCGGACCTTTCAAAGGACGGCAAGCACCACGTCTTTCCTCCCAGTTTTCATTCCGTCTTCTTTAGAACCCTGATTTCTGGTCAGTGATAGTGATTAGACTCCCGATTCAAAAGGGCTAGGGTGGAAGTTCTAACTGAATGCAGCAGTTTACTCTGGTCTCCAAGACCATGTGACAGATTAACATACCTTAAGGTAAATGACATTCCTGAATCAAAGCGCAGGGTGGAAACCCAGGGAGGGAGAGGCCAGGGAGAATTTTGAAAATAAATAATGCGATCTCCCAGCTAGTACAGGGTAGCTGGTTAGTAACTTACTAAAGGGAAAAGAAAAGAACTCATATATTTTTATACTGATTGATCATTCAACCATGAGAGCACTGCCCTTTTTAAAGGGTTTATATTCCTGTGCAGGAGTGTGGCAGCACAGTCGGTTAACTGGACTACACTGCTGACGGAAAGGTGAGCGGTGAGCGGTTCCTCCGAGTGTCTGACCATGGGTTTTATGACCAAATCAACTCGATGGCACCTAATAACCACATAATCAGGGGCAGATGTGAAGCAACCCTAAGTATAAAATCCAAAAACTTAAAAAAAACTAAAAAATGAAAACTCATGGCCATGGCTGACCCAGAGAGCCTAAAGGACAGACTAGAACTGTCCCATATTTTTCCAACCAGTGATATCATGAGGGGTGGAACAGTGCAGACTGCACCGTGACACTGTCCGGAACGGGGATCGAGACCAAAAAAGCGGTGTATGTTTGTGCAATACTTCAAGAGAAATGTATTCTTTTTTAATAACAAAACAATTTTAAGTCCAGCTTACAAGCATCAATATACCTACAAGGCTAATACTCCATGCTAATATACTTGCTAAACCTTCAAACCTGCTCCTAGGAATCCAGCAGTGGGTTATGATTTGGCTGCTCACTGCAAGGTCAGAAGTTTGACCCCAAGCCACTCCTTGGGAGAAAGATGAGGCTTTCTGCTCCCATAAAGATTTATAGTCTTGGAAGCCAACAAGGGAAGTTCTACTGTTAGAATCAACTCAATGGCAGTTAGTTTGGTGTGATTTTTTGGAATGCACTCCGGGGAAAGGGGTGATTAGCCAATTACAATGGTGTTTCAAATCACATGGTTTTGTCTGCACGCACTGCTGCTTTTGGACAGCTTCCTGACAGCGCTCTCATGTTTTAGCTACAATACTGCGAATTGCAAATCAGTATCAATAAGCTTTTTGAGCATAAAGTAGTAATTTAAAGGGAAAGGAGGAAAATCATAAGTTTCTGCTCAGTTACTAATAATGTAACTGAGAAATAGAAAGATTTTACAAAGCAATTGTTTGCATCCATATAATCTAAGAACTATTAGATTTAAACAATTTTGCAGCTATGTTTATCACATTCTATTATTATAATGCATAATAAACATTACTAAGGATTCTGTATGGTCTGGTACAGAAAAAAAGTGCATAGTGGAAAGGGAAGGGCTGGCAACACCTAGTGATTTCACTGTTTCCAAGGCTACAATCTTTTCAGGAGAAGATCGCCACACATCTTGTTCCTGCAGAGCGGCTGGCCGGTTCGAACTCCAGGCCATTCTAATAGCAGCCTGTCCCTAACCACAGCACCAGCAGGACGGACAGACACACACACACACTCACAAAATGTATCCTCTAGAGCAGCAGTTCTCAACCTGTGGGTTGCGACCCCTTTGGGGGTTGATCGACCCTTTCCCAGGGGTCGCCCAATTCATAAGAGTAGTAAAATTACAGTGATGAAGTAGCAACAAAGATGATTTTTATGGATGGGGGACGGTCACCACAACATAAGGAACTGTATTAAAGGGTCGCGGCAGTAGGAAGGTGGAGAACCACTGATCTAGAGAAAGGATCTAAAATGTGTAGTTCCCTCAAGAAATCATTATTAATGCTGAAGGGAGTAAGAAGCAACCGACCAGCCAACCAACCATCCAACCAAAAGCTGGCTGTGCAGGAATGGAAAGGTATCAAAACCTTGAGAGTACACATACATTCTTAACTTGTTCTTCAGGCCCCCGCCAGGACTGAACCAGTCTATTTGAATAAGATCTGATGATAAACTCCAAACTCACTGCCATCAAGTTGATGCTGACTCACAGCGACCCTATCGGACAAGGTAGAGTGAGCGAGAGTGCAATGTTTTACGGGAGTAGAAAGCCGTGCCCTTCAACTCCAGGTAGGGGTGTTGAACTCCTGACACTGCAGATGGCAGGCCGATCCGTAACCGCCACTCCACCAGGCTCGGAAGACCTGATGGTCTCTCTCATGAAAAGGAAGAATGTCTGTGCAAATGTCTAGCGGGATCGATCACCACCCGATTACATTAGTGGCCTTACGAATGTCTTAAGGCCGATTTGCATAAATCTCTGTACATTCAAAGAGGCTGGCATTTTTACTCCTGAAGTCTAGGCAGTTTTCACTTTGGAGAACGTGTGACTGAAAGAATCTCGGTGCTTTTTCAGTTTGCTAACTTTCGGGCTAGACATTTGAACCCACCAGCTGTTCTGCGGAACAAAAAGAGGCGGCGGTCCGTTCCGGGAGCGATTTCCAATCTCAGAAATCTTAAGAACACTCTTACCGCGTCTGGTCGGGTGCCTATGAGCCAGAAACCACCGCGGCTTTTGTTCAAGCTCTTTCTTGGAAAGAACTTTAAAGTGCAACCTCTGCACACCCCCCTCCATGGAGTCCGCGGGGTCCGTGGGCTTGTGAGTGTGAGTTGGGAAGTTTTCTGGAAGGACGGTTACTCGGGGGTGATGGGCTGGCTACGCGCGATTCCCTGCGCGTCAAGGACCACGTTTGGAGTTCAAAGCCGGCGACTACGCGAACTAAACTCGGAGAGGACGTGGCCTTGGAGCGGATTCAAAGGACGTCCACTCGCTTCTGGAGGAGTGGGGTGGGGGTGGGAGTGGGGTGGGGGTGGGGGCGGCCGGGCTGTGAAGCGCCATTTTACGCTGGACTCTCAGCCACGCGGTCAGCCTTGAGACGCACTGCTCCCGCGGGCAGGACGGACACGGCCCGATCCCCCGGAGATCCCGAGTCTCGGAAACCCTACACGGGATCCCTCGGAATCGGAACCACTTGGCGGCGGGCCGTTTAGGATTTGGGTTCTGATCCCCCGTCGGATTGCGCGGAAAGGGCTTCCAGCGCTCCAAGCCGTGTTCTATATTTAAACCAAGAATCGCTGTGGAGTGAAAAGCGACTTCGGGAAGCCCTCAGCGGGCAGGTCCAGGGGATAGAGCATGAGGCGCTATGCGTCCCCGGAAGGGACCCCTCGGAGAATGGGTGATAGAGACACCCCCCAACCCCCCAAAAGTCGCGGGGCCAGGCTGGTCGCTCGGCTCCCGCACCCCGATGCATGTCCAAGGGCCGGAGCGGGCGAGGGTCAGCCCGACCGCTACCCTGAGAACGAGGGTCCCGGATGTAGACCCGGCCTACCGACCCGGGCAGTCCAGTCCCGGGGCTCCGGGCGAGGCCTCCAGGCAGCTGCGCGCAGCGGGACGGACGCCGTCTTGCAGCGCCCCCACCCCTTTCCTCCCCGGCCCCTCGCCTGCGGCCCCTCCGCGTGGCGGGAAAGTTGGCAACTTACAGGAGCAGCGCCAGGGGCGAGCCGAGGGGCCGTGGTGGGCGAAGGGCCGCGGGTAGGGCGAGCTGAGGGCTCCGGGGGACGGGACTCGCGGCCACCGCCTCGCTGGTCCACCCGAAGAGGACTGAGCCCAGACGCGGCGCTGCAAAAGGCGGGCTGGGCACGTGGGCGCCTCTCCGGGTAGCCGTGCCGGGGGCGGAGCATGGGCTGGCGCGCCGCCCCCTGCCTCCCTCCCTCCCCCACCCGCACCGCCCCCGCGCCCAGGCAGCCCGAACCTGGGGCCCAAAGGCGCCCGGACGGCGGCGCTCGCTCGCAGTTTGAACGGGCGCTGGGAGCGCAGGCAGGGGCATCCGGGGAGAGCTCGCTCCGGCCTTGGCCTCCGGGACCTGGGAGCACGCGGGTCCGGGCCCCCGGGATGCTTTCTCCTTGCGGGCCGGGAATCCAGCCTCATGGGAGACTCATGCCGATTCCTTCCAGGCATGTTTTTTGTTTTGCTTTGTTTCGGTCCCGCTTTCTGCAATCTGCGAAGAATATGGAAATAAGAAAATGTAAAAATGATAGCTAGACGCTCTGATGGGTATGCCTTGCCAACTTGCAGGGGTGTTTAAGAGCACATCGAACTCTATAAATAATGTGCGGTTTGACATTTTGAAACCCCGATTGTGTGACGAGGTTGTCGTGACTGTTTGCTATTTTCTATTTTCAAGAGAACAAGAACAGGGATTACACAATCCAGTTACCGGTATCTCAAACAGTGCAGTTGTTTGCTTTAGACATCTCTCTCTCTGATAAGATGAAAGCCACAAATTGAAACTCTTGTTAATTTTAACCCAAAAGGAGCCAAAACACGGGAACTAAGTTAAACAATAAGGACGTATGATTATTTACCAGAAAGCTACATCTTTCTTATTTGCTTAATAGCATGTCGTTGTTGTGTGCCAAGGCAGCACAGAGTAAGATTACCCCATGGGGTTTCCTAAAATACAATTTTAATAAGAACAAATCGCTGTGCCTTTTCTCCTGCGGTGTGAGCAGTAATGGTTGGTGGGTTAGACATAGGGAACTTTCTGTCAGCCATCAATTGTTTAGCTATTGTACAACCAAGACTCCTTAAACATCTCTCTATTCATCTACAAACCAGTTTTTTGTTGAATCCTGACAGTTCGACCTTCTCGCTAAGCTTTTGATGGTGGTAGCCTTGTAGAAACACATTGCCTAGTCTGTGTTCTCTGGCTAGGGTAAGGTAGACAACTTTTTTATTGGTAGCTCAGCCCTTACCCATTGTGCCACCCAGGCACTCCTTGCTGTTACCGTTACTCATCTACGGGTAACAAAGTAGTGGATTCACATTGATTCATTAAAACCAAACTCATTGTCATTAAGTCTATTCTGACTCACAGGGACCATTTAGGACAGGACAGACCTTCCCCACGGGCTTTCCGAGACTCTTGACAGGAGTTAGAATGCCTTCTCTTGCTTCCCCAGCATGGCTGGTGGTTTCAAACTGCTAACTTCGTGGTCAGCAGTCCACCATGTAACCTACTCCACCATCACAGCTCCTATTGATTCATGACATACGTCTTTTTAATGTGCTGTTCTAACCATTCTTAACTTGTTTAAAATATTGATTCCCAAGAGAATCTGATAAAAGGTATGAAACTTCACTCCAGAAAATGGTAGATGCACAAAATCTCTGGTGCTTGGTCTGGAGTCCATGAACTTCACAAAGCCCTCCATAAACCTTGTAAAGAACCCAAGGTCTAAGTAGCACTATGACTACAAGGCTATTTACCTGTTCAAGGGAATTTCCTAGGTAATTGAGACTGTCAAGTTGTACTTATTTTTAACTAGAAAGATTCCTTCTTCCCTGTTCAGTAATGCTTTCCCCAGCTCCTTCTACCTCTCCCCACCCTCTGTGCCATGAACACTTCTTGCTCCCGTTGATCAGATGTTCTCCTTTGGGAAAAAATGAGAAATTCAACTTAGCCTGCCTTTCAGCATGACTAACAGCTTGTCTTTCAAAGATTTTGGAAACCTGTGTTTGTCAGAACTCCCAAGGCTCAGGGAAATTGCAGGGAATGTCAAGGGAATTTTGTCGTGGAGTAATTTCCGCACCCTGTGCTCCCACACACACCTGGTATAAAACCTACTCTGTGTGTATGGGATCTAACCATCGCGTAGTTAAAGAGAACGTGAACTTCCATAGTTCTCATTGGTGACTCTGTTATCCCCACACGATTTCAGCATTAACAAGTTAAAATACTCAATTGGCTTTTTTTATCCCTTCAAATCCATGGACACTGGATACTAAGGTTTCTGCTGTAATTGAATCATCTGAAAAGGAAAATGGGGTTTTCACCAGATTGCAGGCCTCTAGAGTTCCTGGGCTGTCAGGTCACTGCTGTTCACCACTCCCCCTTCAAAAATGTGTAAAATATTAAAGCAATCTTCCACTGGACACATTCCATAGTTGCCCATCCCTTAAAGTAAGCAGTGAAATACTGAAAATATAGTGGAAAAAAATACAGTACATCTTCACTGTGACAGATTGTCTTTTAAATACATATTTTTCTGCTTATAGTTTAACTAAGACTAAATAATGACTTTGCAATGGTGTCCAGCGCTACATTGCTCCCCTTCTGAATTTCCTTGCATCCTGGCATTTGGCTTGTTTCTGGGTTTTCTTTACATTGGCTATTAATCAAGAATTGCCCAGAACTCCACCCACCCTGTGCTGCTGTTTCCTTCTGCCAGGATTCCTGCAGGGACTGCATCTGCTGGGAAAAAGTCAGCTTTCTCAACCCAAACATCTTCCATCAGCCTGTTGTGCCAAGGACTCGAGTCCAGAGGTCTAGGAGGCAGCTCACCTGATGTAAATCCTTCTCTTTTTCCTTCTGCTTCCACAAAGGTCCTAATTTCTCTCAAGAGCTTTTCCTAGCCATGCCCAATAGACTTGTCTTTCTTGGGACCTTCATCAACTCCTCCCCGGCGTTTTCTTTCTTTCTGAAAATACTCTTCATCCTTGGTGCCCAAGACTGCTTCCTTATTCATTTACCCACCTGGTCGCTTGTGGTCCTCATTGCTCACCCTGGGCCTCTTCAGAGGAAATTCTTGAATCGTTCTGATCTCTATCCACCTTCACAAGATAACTTGGTTGGCATAGTGGGTGGGTTACCTGGTGGGTTTTGAAACACACGGTCAACATTTTGAAACCACTACCGGGTCCTCTGGAGAAAGATGAGACTTACTATTCTCCTGTAGATGAACAATCTCAGAAACCACAGGGGCAGATCCACTCTGCCCTGTAAGGCTGGTAGGAGTCAGAATCAATTTGGTAGCGGTGAGTTTGGAAGGCGACTTGATGGCACTGATAACATAAGCTGCCAAGCCTCACCTTTCACCCTTGCTCCCATGTAGGTCTCGAGTAACATGCAATCGCTACCTCCTAAAACTATATGGTTAAAAGTAAATTCACCTCTTTTTTAGAATAGCAGTTCTCTCCAACCTTTCGTTATCCTACTCCTCACCCTCCACTCCCAGGCTCTCAAAGCTGTGGTTACTGCTTTCCCTCTTCTGGGGTTTATGTTGTACCAGCCATGAAGCTCTGCTCTCGTTGTTCTCGATCTAAGAAACAGCCCTGTCCCCTGATTTCTGTGAAGGCAGCTCCTTGATCTCTGTCCTCATCATGTAATAAGTCAACTTATTGCAATCTACTCATCGATGACAGAATCAGACTTAAATTCCTTCTATCATGTAATGTCTACATCAATTGCTCCAGCACATTCCCCTAACTTTTTATACAGACCTGTTTCAAGATAGTAGTAGCCTCTTGAAGATAAACAAGCAACCATCTAGCTGGGAAGCAACAAAGCCCACATGGAAGAAGCACACCAACCTGTGTGATCACAAAGTGTCTACGGGATCAGGTATCCAGCATCAGAAGACCCCAAACAATCATATCGATGCAAGCGATGGGGGGGCCAGAGTGGAGACCCAAAGCCCATCTGTAGAAAATTGGATATCCCTCATCGAAGGGTCACAAGGAAGGGATGAGCCAGCCAGGGTACAGTATTAGCACCAATGAAACACACAACATTCCTCTAGTTCTTCAATGCTTCCTCCCTTCCCCCACACCCCACTATCCTAACACCAGGTCTACCTTACAAATCCAGCTAGACTGGAGCATGTACTCTGGTACAGCTAAGAGATCTCAACACATGGAACCCAGAACAGATAAACCCCTCAGGAGCAATAATGGGAGTAAGTGATACCATGAGGATAGGGGGGACCGATAACAATGATTGACTTATAACCCCTCCCCCCCTACCTAGGGTGATGAATAATAGAAACATGGGTGAAGGGAGACAGCAGATGGTGTAAAATATGGAAACAATTTACAATTTACCAAGGGTTCATGAGGGTAGAGGAGAGAGGGGACAAAAGGAACTGATATCAAGGTCTCAAGTAGAAAGAAAAGATTTTGAAAATGATGATGGCAACATATGTACAAATCTGCTTGACACAATGGATGTATGGATTGTTATAAGAGGACTCAGAAAAGAATTTATTAAAAAAAAAATAGTAGCCTCTAGCCATGTGTGACTTCCAAACACTTAAAATATGATAATCTGTATTGAGGTTTGCCCAATTATAAAATGCCCATGGGATTTCAAGTAGTACAGTCAAAAACATGTAAACTATCTCATTCATATTGAATATAAGGTGAAAAAAAAATTGAACCCCTCAAACTACTGCCTCGAGTTAGTCTTTAAACCTTAAACCGAAAATACCTTTTGAAGTCTTCTTAAAACCAAATAGCAGTTTACCTTCACTAATAAAAGACCTGCCTTGAGCAATATGCTCTTTTGAGAACCAGCTTTATGGGATCGAATTGGCAATAGCAACTCTTAAGATTAGACAGAAACTTTATGGGGCAGTAAATTAATGTCAATGGTCAGGGAACAACTCAGAAAAGGAGGATGAAAATGGTTGTGTAACTCAAAGAATGCAGGCAATGTCATTAAATGGGCTATGTAAAAAGTTTTGAG